AGATCAAATACCCTAAATAGTGTTAGTACAGACAATTAGCCTTCCATTATGACGGTAAATAATGTTAGAAAATGTGGCGATCATGAAACCAGCCGACAAAGACGGAACTCTCGATTCATGCGCTACTGGTATACGAGCAGGTACAGGCCGAGATGTGAATGGTAAGGAGGTGTGTACTGACAGCTATTGAGCAAGAGCAAATATGCATATTATTCGTTTAGTAAAGCCAAAATGGACTCGAGGCCGGTGCCTCCTAGCTCGAAACCATCTTCGTCGACGTCGCCGTAGTCGGTCTCGTCGTTGAGCATGGCTTTATCGTCGTGGCTTGCGTGGATGAGGTTGCAAACTCGAATGTGATCGTACGTCCTTGGCACGTCGGGTTGGAAGTACTGCGTTCGGCCCGCTCTTGCAACGTCCTTGGGTGGGAGGATGGAACCTTCGGGCTTGCGGTCGGCATACAGTGGCAAGCGGTAGGAGACAGCCTCGACCGCCCGCTTGTAGTTCTCGAACTTGTACATCTCGTTGAAGCACTCGGCGATGCGGTGAAGCGTATCGACGTGCCCGAGCGCACGGACGAGGTGCTTGCAAGGCATTTGTGTCTGCTCCCGGTAAGTGCACAAGCACGTCAACTTCTCGACGTCGACCTCGCGCTTGGCCTCGCGGTGGGACTCGCGGTACACATAAAAGATTAACCGTGTTGACTCCTGGATCGTGTAGTCCTGGCCCATCACGAGGGACTCTTCGTACTTGTCGCGCGCGTCGGAGGTTGCACGTCGGACTCCTCGCTCACAACCTCTCGTCGCCGGGTGGACGCCGTTTGCATGACCTCTGCCATCATGAGGTACAATGCTGCAAACGGAAGGTTGAAGCGAACACTATTGTGGATATCTAGATAGAATGTTGGACCATCATCACGTTGGACGAGGTTCAAAAGGACTCCGGGGTACTCCTTCGTCTTGAAAAAGGTGCCGTCGGTTTCGAGGAACGGAACGTGGCTGCGGCGCTGCTCGATCGAGGCACCGAACGGGACAACAGCGCGATAAAATCGCTTCTCGGTGTCAAGCTCCAAGTCGACCAAAGACCCCTCGTTGCGAGCTTTGGACTCACACAAAAGCCACGGGATGTATGAGTATGTGTTATTACACTACACAAAATTGTTGCAGTAACGACCAACACGAAAGATTAGACTGACCTTTGACCCCATAGATGCCAATACTTCTCATCTCACGCGGCCCGCGGACGAGGTCTTGGACACCGACCCACCGCGCTCTTCCTATGCGGGATACTGTGACAATCTGTACATAGGTTCGTGCCTTACTTGGACCATGCTCGGCCGGGTGTGCCGGGTGTGCCCCGCGACAGCAGCACCATCCGCTGTACCGACGCCATTTTGGCGGCTTGCCGCACGGACACCTTGACGGTTCGAGTGCACATATCCGAGAGCTGCAGCTGTACGTCTACATAGCAAAAGATAAGATCGATGCGGACCCTCATTTTCCACGCGAAAACAAACCTTGAATGCGATAGGTGCCCGCCGGCGTATCGCCTCTGTAGACCAGGTATGCAACGATATGCCACACGCATGGTGTCGAGCTGTTGCAGAGGTATATAACGTTGGTACCCCCAACCTTGGTTTCACCGACAGTCGTGCCTATAGGAATGTGAAGGTGTGGTACATAACAGCTCACATACCATTCGAGGCGACGACGACCGAGAAGCGGTTTTCCAGAGTCCAGTCCCGCACGTATCTCGACACTTCACGACGCCTGCCGTAGAAGTCAAGACCGGCTTCGGGTGGGCCGCAGTACACCTCGTTGGCGGCGATTCCGCGTACGGGTCTCTCTCGCCATAGTCGCTCATTGGATGTTTCGGAGTTGACGTTTTCCAACAATAAACGGTATCATACTATTTACTGTCATCATAGAAGGCTAATTGTCTGTATTTTGTCTGTACTAACACTATTTAGGGTATATGATCTTGACGACCGCCCTCGAATTAGCCTAGAATAAACCAATCATGTTCACTGGAAAATGGCTTTTTGACCAATAATACCGGTTCCGGAACTCTTGAACATATTCATTTTTGATTCCGGAACTTTTGAACAAATCCCAATATATTCCGGAACTATTGACAAATACTCCCACGTTGCAGGCAAACAGATGGCCATCTCGACCACACATTTCGCCCTGCTGTCCCACGTGACTCACGATACCTTGACGAACGGAACCGTGTTCGATCGCGCCACAACGACGCCACCTGCGATCACGCAAAGCACTCGTCTCGGCGATGCAAGAACGCTGCGATCGTCTCTCATTTGCCAACTCGCCTCGTTCTCGACACCATGGTCTCTCCTACTCTTGTTGGTCTGGCGCTGCTGGCATCGCAAGTGGCGGCCCACGGCGGCCTCTTTGACCCCAAGCCGACGTTCATTGAGCCCAACAGCGACCCGACGCGCTTCTGCGGCACGATCGATGGCCCCACGTCGCTCCCCGGCTCGGCGTACAACCAGGACCCGGGCTACAACGCCGCGCAGTTTGCGGCCAACTTCAAGGCGAGCAAGTACAAGACGCTCAAGGCGTTCCTGGATGCGTGGGACACGAGCGCACAGTGCGGCCAGTGCGGCATCACCAAGGTCGACGCGGCCAACCCGCAGCCGCTGCCGAGCATCGTCAAGTGGCGCCACGGCGACAACGAGGGCTTTACGCCGTCGCACGAGGTATGCTATTTT